GCCAAGTTATGTTGGTGACCCTTGCCATTGCCGGTCTTTTTTCCCTTCCCTGCCTTCTCTTCATCAGACGCGGGATCCTTGGTACTATCTGAATCAGCATATTTGACCAGAGCCACCATCAACTGGCCCATGTCATGACAATCACGCTTGAGCCGCCCCAGCTTCTGCTTCAGAGGTTTAAAACGGCAATTTTTCTCCAACATTAAGACCGCAGAGCCGGCATCCATCTTATCAGATGAATGTATTATCTCCTTGATCAGGCGCACCCAATGGGTCATGGACTCACCTTCCTCTTGCTTACAGTTAGTCAAGTCCATGATGGACACAGGTTTCTTACATGTGTCCTTGAAGTTCTGAATGAACCGGGCTTTTAACTCCGCCCATGAGCCAGTGGAGTTGGGTGGCAACCCTTTCAACCAAGTGCGAGCTGTTCCATCCAACATCATAGTGAAATATTTAGCCATTGTTGCATCACTGACCTCCAACAGCTCCATCGCCATCTCATAACTTTCAATCCATGCCCCAGGCTGCAAGTCGGCCGTGTAATTAGGCACTTTACGAGGCCCCTTAAAATCTTTTGGCAAGCGCTCATTACGTAGAGCCGGCACCAGGCAAGGGACACCTCCTGTTCTTGTGGCCACTCCTGCCTCAACAGAGGTTGCTGGATAAACCGGAAAAGCCTGATGAGCCGCCTGCTCAGCTGCCAGTTGAACTGCCCGCTCAGCCTCCTGACGGATCCTCTCCTGATCCACCAAGTTAAAGGCTCCATCATGCGCTGGGTCATGCTTGCGCGGCTGGTTACGGCGTTGGGCATTGCTTGACATAGCCGCTGAGTCCATATGCCCGCTATAGCTCGGGCTCCGGCTTGGGCGAGGGGTCGAATGGATTCTGTCTTGACTATAAGAGTACACATCCTGATGTGCCAGGATTGTCTGAAGAAGTTCTCTGACCCTTCGTGTTTCGATCGCCGTTGGAGAGTCGCCTTCCATTGGGAGAGCCGCCGGACGAGTCGACGCATCAATTAAATTCTCCAAAGGGTTAGAGAAGTGACCCGATGGTACTAGCGTGTAATGAGGCGGCACAGTATTCACATGGGGTGGTTCGATGGCCCTCGGCTGAACCGACGCCCCCGTCCCAGGTGTTGTGATCCGGTTTGCCTTCGGCGGGTTGCTGCGACCGGCCCCAGGTTTGTGGAAAAGGTTCCTAGGATCGTAAGTCAGAGGCAGACGTGATTGAGTTTTCTGGTGTCTTCTCCTCATGACCTCGTTTGACGCGTTCAGATCCACCGAGAGCTAGAAAGTCTCTGCTTGAAGCTGCAGAGCACGTGCATCCAGAGCCCCGCCCGTTCTGCGGCCATCCTGACATCTTTCGCTGCTAAATTTTCCTTGGCCTGTGCTACCTCTCCGCGTAGCCGTCCTACTTCTGTGTCATGCTGAGCCTTATCCGCTGGCTCAACCACAGCAGTCAACAGGGCCGTCATCCTATCCATGAGGTCCATTAATACCTGAGCTGGTGGGTGCATGGGGTCTCCTGACCCGGCCGCTGCAGACCATGTGGTTATGGCTACCGCAGTCGTAGAATTCTGACCAGGTTGAGTGCCAGCCATGAAGACTCCGGCTCGATTCGGCAGCTCAGTGGGGTCCGGAATACTGCTGCCATCGGAACATCCCCCAAGTCCGCCGTCTTGTAACTGATACAAAGAATCTGTTTCGCCTGTCGACGACTCACCGTCAGAACAAACGACCGTCTCACCACCGTCCACCGATCCTTCAAAAAATTCCCCTCCATGGATGCAACCCACGAAGGCACGCCTCATGGCGGGTTGAGCCCAGGCAGATCTAGCGCGCTGAGCCGTCTCGACGTGGTCGGTGCAGATGCCTGGCTCAGGGCCCGGCTCACCGATCCGGCCGATGAAGACGTGGATTCCGCCGAAGGGGACCCGGTATCCGTACTCAATTAAGCTGGCGTCGGGGCCCCAGCCTTCGTCGTCGATGTAGAGCTTGCCGCGATGACTCTTGGTCATCCGGCCCACAGCGTATCCCTTGAGCCCTTCGAAGTTGCCCTTCAAGAACTCAAATCCACCATGCGCTGGCCCCACGGTGGGCGCCAACTGTCGTGGAATTGTCATGGCAGATGTCCTAGCGAAGCTTAAAGGGGTTAACCGGGACAAAGGACACGAGAGGTTTATATTGGTTTGTCCCCTTATGGTGAAGATAAGGCCTAGTCCTGTTGATGTTGTATTGCTAGGTTTCGAATCCGCTAGCTTGGCTATCGATCTGTTGATTCTTCCCCCTAAGCCGCCGCCGGGTCGTCCCCTTATATACACGGGTTGACGCCTGGCGGCCTACAGAGTCCCAGCCGGCTCATAAATGTGTCCGGCTCGGTGACTTCTTGTATATGCATTTCTTTACAAGTCTTTCGTCACATATGGCGGTTTACAATATTGGGCCTTAAGCCGCCTCTTGGCTTAGGCCTTCTACAATTCTTAATAAACTATCACCTTGAATATTACTGGGCTTCTCTTAACAACCCGCCATTAGGGTAGACCCGGCCCCTCCTGGGCGGGTAATACCTGAAAGTTATATTCCCAACACATATCCTTCACCAATTTAAATTGATGACAAGCAACGGATTGCATACAACTTATTCTCGTAGAAATGATTAAGAGAGAGATATCGATAACTTAAGAAGGTCTTCAACGAACCACCGATAGGATTTGGAAAGAACGAATGAATTGATATGATAACAACAGAAGAGGAATTTTGGATGAACCACCGTAAGAATTGAATATGATTGAGGAAAAGAGAACGAAACACCAGGAAGAATTAGAAAATGAATGAAGATACTTGAGTGAATTTAGATGCAAGAGAACGAAGAGATCACGAGCTGACTAGAGAATACTTGAGTAATGCGCTGGTAAGATTTGGAGAACGAGAGCTGAAAGATGGAATAATAATTCTAAGATGATGGGCTCTGGAGAATCAAACTGAAAAGACTACCGAATTGCTCCGGATGGGTGAAAAGAATTCTCACAATCGAAAACAATTATGAGAGGATGGCATAAGGATAGAACCACGAATCTTTGGAAGAACAGGTGAGGATTTAAGAGGAACTCTTCCTTGGTCTTCAAATGCAGAGAATGACGATGAGAAACACCACCACCAATTATTGAGGCACTCCGGAATGATTAATAGAAAGGTTGAACCAACAACGGAAAGAATTTGAAAGATCTTAGAGAAAGACATATGACTAATGAAAATTCATCAATTCCTTCTTATATCACACTTTTAAATGAAGTTGAGAATAACTCCGGAAAAGTTAGAAGAGTCAGGTAAGATCCTAGGAAAACACCTGTGGGTTAAGGCCCACTCAAAAGATACACTGTTGAACGATTTAAAAGAGAGATTGCGCCGGTTGAATTAAATGGCTTGAATGAGATACCAACCTCGAAATAGCTTGAATGGATTAGGAATGAAAACATGAAACACCTGAGATATCTTCAGTACTCCAGAACAAATGAATGGCGAGCAGTGGATGATTAAGAGGTGCACCGGCATGAGAAAACATTTGAAACGAGGAAAGGATATGATCGACAAAGCTTGAATTGAATCCACTGAAGAAGAAAAAGAATGATGAATGATGAACTTGAAGCTTCCTTAGTATCTTCCTGAGAATCACCGGATAAGAACATTGAAGGAAAGGAATGAAAAAACTTCACATCCATAAGATGGATACTTGATTTGGAAATCTGAGTCCTTGCAGAAAAGGGTGGGAGGGCGGGAAAAACAAAGGCAACTTGGGGACGGATGAAATGAACAACATTGGGAAAACTGTGAGAAGATCTTGCGGATGTTGAAAATGACCGGATCCACTTGAAGAGAAGCACACCGGTAGAAAAGAGAAGCACATAGAAATATGAGAACAGCTCTTGCAAAAGGTATGGAATCAACACTTGACATCGAAGCAACTCGAATACCACAACTCAAAACAAAACAAAGGATTCGGCTTGCAGGATAAGCCGGAACAAACATATGATAGACCCCATATCGTATCACGTGTCTGTTGGAAGGATATCCAATGTGATACTTGAATTCCCACTTATAAACTCCCGAAACTTTCGGGTTATGCAATCTGGTGTTGGGGATACAGGGGAAGCATAATATCTAACCCAAACAAACAATCCCTACATCCAGCTGTATCCATCCGTCAACACATAACCAAGAAACCTTCGGAAATCGTGTACCTCAACCTTCGGAAAGCATCCGTTATACGAGTTATGGCAATACTCCTGAACTCCCACCCCAGTACTGGGTGGCGTCTAGGTTATCTCACCAACAACTGCATAAAAGAGATTTTCGATGTCGGTGAACTCAGGTATTCCAGAACTGCAACGATAAAATTGTGACGACAACACCTCGGGGCTCAACTCTCCGGGACACTGCCACAACCCCTAAATGTGAGGAGGCACCGAGAACAATGTTCTAGTCACAAGAATATTGAACGATCCCAAGATACCCGCGTGATCCTAAAAAAATTAGTGAAATTTGAGGAGAGGAAAGTCAAAACATCTACGTCAGGAGGCCTCACCAGAGCGACGAAGGGACTGAGGAGTAAAAAGAATCCTACTCTCCGATATATATAATCTTAAGACTCAAAACATTTTTGTTCTAGACTCAACAACGTCAGCGATTCGATCAAGCAGGGGCTCCTAAGTCGGGGATGGCTCTGATTACCAACTTGTAATGCCCATGATGCGGCTATATCCCCCACATGTCGAGGCACGACTTAGAGGCATAACCGCATGGTGGTTTTGTCGCAAGAGGGGTAATCTTCACACAATCCCATGTACTGAATAATAAAGGGATAAAGAGTTGGCTTACAATCGCCACTTCGCACAAATAACAGGTTAAACATACATCATCCAGAGTACAATCAAGGTCCGACTACGGAACCAAAATAAAAGAAGACAACCCCAAATGCTAGATCCCTGAACGTCCCAACTAGGCACCACTACTGATCAACCGGAAAAGACACATAACAATGACCAAGATCTTCATTGAGCTCCCACTTGAGCTCGATTGCGTCAGCTGCACTGGTATCATCGGCAGCTGCATCTGTTTTGGTAGTATCCGTGAGTCAGAGGACTCAGCAATCTCACACCTACGAGATCAAGACTATTTAAGCTTATGGGTAGGATAAGGTAGTGAGGTGGAGCTGCAGCAAGTGATAAGCAAATATGGTGGCTAACATACGCAAATAAGAGTAAGATGAGAAGCTACGCAACGATCATGAAGCTAGAAGTGATCAAGAAGTGATCCTGAAACTACTTACGTTCAAGCATAACCCAAGACTGTGTTCACTTCCCGGACTCCGTCGGAAAGAGGCCATCACGGCTACACACGTGGTTGATTCATTTTAATTAAGTTAAGTGTCAAGTTCTCTACAACCGCACATTAACAAATTCACATCTGCCTCATAACTACAGGCACGACTTTTGCAAGTTTATACCCTGCAGGGGTGTCCCAACTTAGCCCATCACAAGCTCTCACGGTCAACAAAGAATATTCCTTCTCCCGGGAATACCCGATCAGTCTCAGAATCCCGGTTACAAGACATTTCGACAATGGTAAAACAAGACCAACAAAGCTGCCCGAATGTGCTGACGAATCCCGATAAGAGCTGCATATATCTCGTTCTCAGGGCACACCGGATGAGCACTCCATACAATTAAAACCAGCCCTCAAGTTTCCCCGAGGTGGCGCTGCAAAGGACTCTAGTTCGGACCAACACTCAGTGGAGCACTGGCCCGGGGGGTAAAATAAGATGACCCTCGGGCTCCGAAAACCCAAGAGAAATAGGCTTAGGTTGTTACGCAAATGTAAAACCAAGTTTGGGCCTTGCTGGAGGAGTTTTATTCAAGGCGAACTGTCAAGGGGGACCCATAATCCCAACCGTATTAGGAACACAAAATCAAGGAACATAACACCGGTATGACAAAACTAGGGCAGCAAGAGTGGAACAAAACACCAGGCATAAGGCAGAGCCTTCCACCCTTTACAAAGTATATAGATGCATTAATTAAAGAAGAGATAATGCGATATCCGAACATATCCATGTTCCAACATGGAACAAACTTCAACTTCACCTGCAACTAGCAACGCTATAAGAGGGGCTGAGAAAAAGCGGTAACTTAGCCAAACAATGGTTTGCTAGGAGGGTTGAAAAAGTTTAGAGGCTATTAGGAGGCTTGATAGACATGTGGTAGGTAGCGCGACATAGATATAGAGCGAACAACTAGCAAGAAAATATATAAGTGCTATCGAGGGTATGGTCATCTTGCCTGAGATCCCGCAAGAAAGAAGAACGGGTCCAAGAAGTAGACGAACCAACGTAGTCAAACGAATCCTCACAACTCCGGAACGAAAGCGAAGCTAACGAGAGAAGCAACCCAGAAAGAAGAAAGCAACATAGCAAACAACCATCACATAAACATGGCATGATGCACAACCAAGTATGATGCATGTCCGATTTAATGAAACATGGCATGGCAAAGTGCACAAACAATACTACAAATTAAGTAGAGCTCAATATGCAACGAGTTGCGTATTGACGAAACACCACATCAATTATTTAGTTCTCTCTCGTTTATGTACCCAACAATATTAAATTTTGTTAAACATGGCAAGAGGTGAAGCATATGAAAACTACACATTTAAGCAAGTTTAAATGAGGCTGGAAACAACAACAACAATTCCGGAAAATCCTCATATGCATATTTCGAATTAGCTAATGTTCAGCCCTAAACATAATTTTAGAGTTGTTAAACATGCAAATTAAGTACGCCATGTTAATCTATGCATTTTTCTGCCCCATTTACATATAAAGTTTATTAAATTTGGAGCTACGGTTATTAAGTTATGAAATAAATCATTTTAACATGGCATTATGCAAAATTAATGCAAACAGAAATTTAAACTTTTAAATCATGGATGAAACATGCATATTATGAAACTAGATGAAATTCTAAGCATTTTACATATATAGAAGATTTTAATCCGATGCACGGTTTATGAGTTATTAACAATTTAAAACAAGGGCATTTTTCTATAATTATGCATGCACAGGAAAAATGGTAAATTCACAGAACGGAAAAAAATGTCTATGGGCCGAATCTGCTAGAACTGGGCCTAAACAAAGCACTGGGTGGCTGGGCTGCTCACCACAGGCCAAGCCCGGGTCGATGGAGAGGCCAAGGCAGGCCAGCTGGGCTTGGCACGGCTAGACCTAGCACAGCGGTCAGCGGGAGAAGCAGGACTTGGCGTTGGTCGTCGTCCTCGCATGCTCGCACGTAGAAGCAGGGCAACGGCACGCCAGTGCGATGCAGAGGAGGCAGGTCACGGCGACATGACCTGGGTGGTCGTCGGCGGACGGTGTCCATGGCGGGGTCTTGCAGTAGTGGCGACGGGGCTGGGACGGCACGAGGACGACGCCGACGAGCTCCACGGCCACGGCGGACAGCGGAACTGGACAGACTCGAGGGCAAGGAGGCGGCTTGACGACACGGTACTTGAGACGCAGGGGCGAGGAGAGCTCGAGCAGATCCGGCGGGTGGCGCTGCTCGGATGTCACAGGACGAAGTAGGACGACGGCGGCGGCGCCATGGAGCTTGGGCGAGCTCCTTCTTGTTCCTGGGAAGGAGAGAGAGAGGGCCACCATGAGAGAGAGAGAGAGAGGGAAAATAGGAGGAGAGGAGCGGGACGAGGCCGGAGGCGGAGAGCTTGTCGCCGGCGACGTCGGGCGAGGAAGGAGGCCGCGGAGGAGCTTCGGTGGCTGGCCCGTGCTCGGGCTGTTGGGGCCTCGGGCGCTCGGGGCTGTGGGAGGTGGACGAGGGGATCAGGGGAGGCGTTGGTTGGCGGGGAGAGATCGAGAGTATTTTTGGACCGGGGACGCACACACTGATTGGATGGGGATGGATCCCGAGGTGGGGGATGTGGCGGCAGCGACGACGAGTGGATGGGAAAAAGTCCCTAGATTTTAGGGTTTGTGCAAAATAGGCTAGTGGTTGATCTATATATAGCAAGTGGGCTAATTTTAGGGGCATTTGGTCCCTCTGATTTTAATCGGACGGTCGACAATAATTAGCTTAGGAGAGTCCAACGAGAAACCGATGATGATTTAGGGATGTTTGGGGATGATCTGGATCCAACGGTCATGACTGCCCGGGTGGGTCCGGGAAGTTTCGGACACACACGCGAAGGGGCTCGATGCACTGTGCAAGGAGGGGTGAGGTGGTTAGGAGGGGTTAGGTTGGACCTAGGTGGGGTTAGGGGGTTGAGAGGAAAGAGAGAAGAGGGAGGCCCGGCACGGTTTCCGGAGACCAAAAACGTCCAACGAAAAGACCGGCTATACTGCCGCTATAGTTATCCGTTGGGGCATCAAACGAACTCCGAATGTGATGAAACTTGGCAGGAGGTCTACCTACACTAAAATAAGACCACTCGCCAACTTTCATCCCATTTCGAGAACATTTTTTGTCCACTTATAAAATACTATTTCGGACGTGCCGCGGGCGCGTGCGAGTGTCTCTGGGCTCAGAACAGACAACGGAGAGAACTAGGGGGGACCCGGACAGATGCAAGTTTTGAAAACATGATGATGCAATGCACATGATGACATGACAAGATGCAACAAGCGAATGACAAGGCAACAATAGCGAATAACTGGAAGACACCTGGCGCAACGGTCTCGGGGCGTCACAGGTGACCCCAAAACATTTCCATTTTTCTCTCTGAATCTTTTCCTGTCGTCTCCGAAACTTTTCGAGAAAATCTCTCTGACACCCCCGTCTACTACTTAGCAGGTAGGTGAGCCTTAAGTGTGTGACCATGTAGGTTCGGTGAAGTATAGAGATGACCGGAACTCTTTTCGATCAATGATCAATAGCAGAACAGTGGACATCCATATTGATCCCTATACCCACACAAATGAATATTCGAGTGAACCATTAGTTGTCGTGTGCTATTCCTGTTGCGTTGTGAAATTTTACAAAAACACCGGAGGTGAGATTTATCAGTGTCCCCATGGATCAACAACTTGGTCCGCTATGCTAGTTTCCTCGTTACCGATTTTGTTCTCTTTTCTCGTATCCGCGTTCCAGCATCCTTGTGATCAAATCATACTTTTTCATGAACCTGTAAGCCGCCGTAATATCCACCCTTTTACGGATGATGTTTAACAAACCCGAAAGTTTATGAAGCAATCATGAAGGAACTCGATACTCTCATGGTCTAAGGAATTATGCAAATGTTAACTTTCTTTGTGTTATTTACCATTAACTCGTGACGAACATATCTCATAGCATAACATCAGTCGGTTCGATTCAACACAATGTTCTTCTAACATTGTGTCCTCAAAGTTGTTGGCATGCCCATGATCAGGAAAACATGATCATCATGCAACACTTAAGCCAGTCTTAGAGGCTTGACTAGGAATACTTTTTATTGTTTATTATTCCACACGTGCATATGGGTTTATCTTAGAGCCTTATGGATATACGGGCTCGGGAACCATAGCAGTTATAGCATGGGATATAAACATAATTACAAACATGGAGATAAGTAATAAAATTTATTATTGCCTCTAGGTCATATCTCCTACACACGGCCCACAAGAGGAGGAAAGGACAAGGACGCCACCCTCCAGGCACCCCCACAGCCACCAGGGGCAAATCGGCGACAGTGACCGGAGCAGCCAGCCCCCCGCAGCCAGTAGCCAGAGGCTATGGTGAGACGGGCTCATTAAGATCTGAGTTCGACCCATCCTCCCCTAACGCCCAAAAGCGGCTGCCACGCGGCCCATAGGAGGAGGCCGCTGCGGCCAGGGGAGAGTGGGACCGTGCGCTGGGCACTGGGGAGGGGCCATAGAAGGAGGGGGCTGGGGTGCGAGGGAAGAGGGGAGAGGGGAGAGGAGTAGAGGGAAACGGAGGAGGGGAATGGAGGAGGGGCAGGGGAGAGCGCCATCCTCGTTCGTAAACTACCACGTAATTTTATGACAAAAAAAGGACTGAGACCCCAAAATTGAAAACTGAGATGTTCTTGTAAGGTCAGCCACACAAACACAATCACATATTTTGGGTGGCAATCAAAGTAGAGCCAGAGTGGTTTTTATGGGGCTATGGTGTCTCATTTCATTAGCAGACCCCCCCCCACCCCCCACATACACACATACGTGTTCACGCACACTCAAACTTCTTCATAGGGCCCACTGCCCCCACCGATGCCCCAAGAAAAATGTAAGTGCGTTGTTGGACAAACCCTAATCTTTTTTTCTTGAATCGCACAAGTGTGTGTATCGTTGCAGTAAAGAAGAAGCGGAAAACAAGCCGGATACAAGGCCTTTCAGCCATTACAATGCTAATCACGAGAATTAGCCTCCACATCCACCACGCACACCCACCCTGGCTACTATGATACATGCTTCCCTTGTCCAACCTCATGCCAATGACAAAAGGCAAGCCACATTGCAACCAAGCCACATCACAACTAACGCCGAGACCTCTACAACAAGACCAAACCCAAGGCCAACACAAACCAGCGTACCGCCACCCATTTGTGCCAAGAGGATGTCGGCAAGTGAACGGCAAGGCCCGAGCAAATCTAGGGAAGGTACCGTCATGAGAGCACCAGAGATGGCATACATTGCGCCCAGGAGGCCCATGCCCAGAGTGGCAGCCGGCTGACTCAAGCCACACTAACGAGACTCCTCGAGCAACAAGATGGCGCCTTCAAGAAGGTAACGACGCCTTGACGCTGCCACCTCCATCCGGTCCGGAGGCCAGACCAAGACAAGGGTTTCCCCGGAGCTCGAGGAAGGGAGTCCCATCGGGTCCAACACAACGCCTCCAGGGAGGGAACCCCGCATCGCTTTGTGAGCCTTGTCTCGAAGCAGGGATTTCTCCCAACCCAGATCGGAGAACCCAGTGCCCATCGGAACCGCAAGAGCAGACCAACCACCACATCTTGAAGAGCCACATTTCGCATCACAGCAACCTCCGCCACTAGTCATGCCTGATCCGGACAAAGTCGCCGCTACCAGCACACCACCTCGAGCGTCGCCGCTGCGCCGCCGCCCTCGATCCGTGGCACACCGCCACCACCACAGACTCGTAGATGCCAGCCGGTGCAGCCACGCGCTAGCCAGCCCGCCACGCGTGGAGGCCTGCCTTGGAAGCCGCTGCCCCCACCGGATCTAGGTCAGTCGGATCCCAAAAATGGGGCCATTCCGTAGCCCCCACACCAGGAACCGCAAGCCGCCTCACACCCGCTCCTCTACATCCCCGAGGCCGCCGCCCCGGCATGCCCGTGCCGACGAGCCGCCATCTCCGTCACTAGCCGAGACTAGCAGTCGCTAGCGCCACCACGAGAAGGATTCACCCCCGACACCATTTGGCAGCAGGGGCCCGCCGCCACCATGGCGCAGATGCCAGCGACAGCGGCGGAGGGAGAGCACCGGTGGGGGAGTTCTAGGTGGCGGCGAGGTTGCCCCCCCGGAGTCGCCTAGGGAGCGACTCGGGCGATCTGGGGAGTTGGTTTTCGCCCCCCTTGGGTTGTGGGTGCGCAAGGTACAAAATCCGGACGGACCCTAATCAAACCCCTCACTCCTCTCAGTTCAGTCGTTCACTCTGATCCCCTCATTTCCTCCCAAATTCGTCACGTGCATGTCTATCCCGCTCCGCGCCACTCCAGACACGGCGCAGGGGTGGGCGTCTCCCCTGCCCCTCGGGCGCCAGCACCACCCGGACAGCGTTGGGTGCTTGCGCCTGCGACACCCGTGCACATGCACATGCCGAAGTCGGAGGAGAAGGCGGCCCGACGTGAGCGGCAGCGGGAGGCGGCCACAATAGAGCCTGGCTCTTCCCAACAGCGCATGCTCCATCCCCATCAACCCCACTAGTGAAGAACCGGGCTTTAGCGCTGGTTCGTAAGGTCCTTTAGTGCCGGTTCCACAACCGACGCTAAAGAGTGGGGACTAAAGCCCCCCCCCTTTAGTACCGGTTCATCACGAACCGGTGCTAAAGTGCCACCACGTGGCATGAGCCAGGCCCGGGTGCGTGTAGGACATTAGTACCGATTGGTAACACCAACCGGCACTAAATATTTGGGGTGGTTTTGGTTTTATTTTTTATTTTTCCATTAATTTTGTGTTTTCCATTTAATTCTTTTTTGTTTACTGGTATTTTATGATACTACGTATTGTACACGTTATGCATATATATATAAATAGATTTTCTCGTAGAACTGATTATATATATACACACACACACACACACATAAACACTATTCTGATCACAACCTGACCTGCCCGCTAGTAGTACGTTGAACTTCCCTGTGAACTAGGTTGAACTTCCGCCAACATTGCCCAAATGGGGCTTGCGATATA